CTGCCGCCCGGAGGACCCGCCCCGCGCATGCGCACCCGCGCCAAGGCACGCCCGCACGCACGTAGACACGCACGCGCGCGTATACACGCGCACCTGCACACACGTACGGGGTGCTGCACGCACGCAGGCGTGTAGTCGTGGAGCGCTGCACCTGCACAGCTGGTCACGTCCGAGCCCTGCGCCGCCCCGGGCAGGCCGAGCGCGGGGACCACAATGCCCCGCCAGTCCCTGTCCGCGGTGCGTGTCACCGCCGGGGAGGCTGGCTCTGCTGCGGCTCCGCACCGCTGCGCCCGGCGGTGGCCCGGGCATGGGGAGCGGCTGCTGCCACAGCGCTGTCAGGGGGAGTCGCGGTCAGAACCAGCCCCTACAGAGCTGGGGTCGGATCCAGCGCTCGGAAAGGCCGGGCCCTGGCCAGGAAGCGAGCCCGCAGGCTCGTTACCCCGGGATGCAGCTCTGGTCGTGCCGGACTATAGTTACACCAAGCAGCAGTCACGCTAAGGCACCGCAAAGGCCCGTGGGAGTAGGCAGGCGTCCTTAGCTGCTGCATGACCTCATAACGGTGCAGCGAGCAAACCCGCTGGCCATGCCCCAAGCCAGCAGGGGAAAGCACCGGACGCTCACCGCCCTCGGCTGGTCGGGACTCGCCCCTCTGCAGCGACCGGGGGGGGGACTCGGCACACGCCACGTGCCGTTGATCACGGTCTGGGCAGGTTCGCTGCCGGGCCAAGCGCTCTACGCGCCCGGGCGCTACTGTCCTGCGAGACGACAAACCTCTCCGAGCTTTTGCCACCCATCGCAACTGTGCGCGGTTCTTTCTGCGCTGCGGCGAGCTGCAGAGCGCCGGCTGCAGGCGACCGCCTCCGAGACGCCGGCCTGGAGCCGCCTGGACCCAGGAGGGCAGCAGGCAGGACGACACCCTGGAGCTGACCCAGCCTCGCTCCATCAGCTGACCCCGTGCAGGGTTTTCTCCTTCAGCCTGGGACCACGGCCTTGCAGCGGGGCAGCCTGGGGCACTTGCCAGGACTGCCAAGCACCTGGCACGCCGTGCTGGGAAGCTGCACTAGGCCGAGGCGCGGGAGACAGGGCCGGGCAGAGACAAGGAATCTGAACACAGGAGGGGGCAGCCGTGCCAGACCCCCCGAGATGTGTGGGGAAGGGGCCAGGCGAGGACATGCCACCTGTGGCCCAGCCTTTCTGCTGGGCAGCGTCGTAGGTTCTGCAGCAATGCCTACGACCGAGCAGCAAGGAGTCGGCAAGGCCCAGGAGGCGCTGGCGTCTTGCTCAGAAGGGACACGGCAGCAGAAGTGCAGGCGGCGTGCAAGAGATGGGCACGGAGCAGCCCCGTGGCACAGCCCCCTGGGGAAGGGATGTGCACCCCTGGGGTGGACTCTGCCTGGAGGGAGCTGCTCGCAGGCTGAGCTGTCAGCAGCATTTCGGGGCTCAGAAGCTGGTTCTTGGAGTTCATTCCCAAGCAGCTGTAGGATTGCTGTTTGTACAGGGCCATGCCTGTGCCTCGTGAATATTTATGAGGGAAAAGTGATATCCTGGTGATATTCAAACACGCATGGACACAGCAGGCTGGGTGGGAGGCAGAGCCTCCGTTAGCGGGCATTCAGCTGCAGCCGGTACGCTCTGTACACGGGCCCCAGCTGCTTGCAGCCGAGGGAATGGGTTCTCCCCTCCCTGCCTCTTCCTATAGGTCTCACAGCTGAGCACTAACCATACCAGGACACAGGGCAAGCCCTACACCCTGCCCCTGGACCTGGCTCCCAGGGTGGGCCCGTTCTTGCACGCGGGGCATGGCTGCAGACTTTCTGAGGGGAGACACCAGCCAGAGGTCTGAACACACAGCCTGCTTCGAACCCCAGGGAATCACTGCAGACACCTGCTGGTTTCTCCCAGGGTCACCCCTTCGCTGGCAAAGCCGCTGCATCACCTGCCCAAACGCGCCTGCCAGAGCACTGTCCGCACTCCAGCCTCCCGCGGACGCCCGCACGACGCAGTGAGACAGGATGCAGCAGACGAGCTAATCAAGCAGTGTATTCAGAACAGGCCGAGCAGACATGGGGACAGTCAGAGAAACCAACCTGCTGGGTGCCATGAGAAAAGTTGTCCCCAGGGAGCAAGATCCTTGAACCTCCCCGACGCACACCCTCCTGCGTCAGTGCTGGAGAGCTCTCGGCAACAGCAGGGTGTCAGGATCTGTGCTCCCAGATTCCTCTTTGTCACCGAGTTGTTAGCTGTGAGCCAGAATGCATTTAACTGGGGGGGAAGGGGCGCGGAAATGGGGGGGCTGGAGAGACTGTGGGAGAACAGCAATGCTCAGCTCCCGCCGCACGTGCTGTGCAGGCGACCAGGAGCAAAGGGTTTGTTATTCACGGTAAGGAAGGTTTCACTGACACCAGGGCAAGCAACGCAGCTGGGAGTGGGCCCAGGCTTGCTCTACATGTCAGAAGGGCAGTTCATCTGATCCGTGGGGAGCATCATCCCTGTTTGGATCCGGTAGGAACGGAGAACACTCTTCAGGTGCTCCACTGTTTCCGGGTGCAGCTGGGGAGTTCTGGACCTGATCCAGGCATAATCGACGTGGAAGAGCCAGAAGAACGAGGTGCAGGAGTACACCAGCGCGTAGTTCTCGTAGTCGGTGGCAACTACCCAGTAGGGGCTAGCTGGCATGACTGGGGAGGAGACAAGAGGGGCATCATTCGGTGCTGCAGGCAGGTGAGGTGCCGGGCGCTGCGACTAGCTGGCACGCGACTGTCGGAGGTGCAGGCCAAGATGCTCCAGCGGGGACTGGGGGTCGGATTCCCCACTGTCACCCCTGTGCTGCTACCGACTTGCCAGGGGGCCCGTGCAAGGCAGGACGTCGTTATTAAGCACATTCCTTTCCCACCCAGAGAGGCTCAGGAAAGACAGGGACATCTGTGGCCTGGACCCCGAGGTCAGTGGCCCAGGCTCTCCTGTCACCTACGCTACTCGCACACCTCTGGGACTTGCCAGCCATCGCTCCACGCTGGTGCCAGCCCCCAAAGCCATACTCGGTGCATGCTGCCACCGGGGTCGACAGCGAGACGGCAGGCGGGGCGGCATTCGGCCGAGGGGGGGCGGGCTCCGCACACTTACACCAACTGTAGCTGACGCTCAGCTTGGCCGGCTCGTCTTTGTTGACAGGGACGGCCTCTGCCTCCATGTGTTTGATCGTGCCGTCGGACCTAGGGGAGAAGAGCAGGTGTGGGTGTCGGCTGCATGTGTGTGCAGCCCCACTCGCACGGATGCGCTGATCAAGTCTCTGTGGCCACCTCCTCGGAGATGGCTAGGGCCCATAGCAGTGCCTGTGCCGCGTGCTCCCCCTGCCAGCAGCCTCCCAACACCCTCTGGTCGAACTGGGGGGGAACACGGGCAGAGAGGGGACATCACTCTGAACCGGAGAGCACGGCACAACCAGCTGCTGCCCAGTGCCTTCCCATACAGAGCCAGCCTGCGCTGTCCGGGCTTGGAGGAGCGTTTTGCAGAGGCCAGCACGGGGCGCAGAAGAAAGCAAGCACAGAGGCGGAAATCCTCCGGGGCATGGCTGGGACGTGCACTTAGCCGCTGATGAGGGCAGCACCAGATCTGGTCATGCCTCAGGAGTGTTTTGAATGGGTGGTGGGTACCAGCCCCGGGCCCTGGCCCTGCTCTTGGTCCCCTGTGTGCGAGCCGGGAGGAGCACACCGACCCAGGCTCAGGCTGCACGCAGGAGGCCAGTGCTGCATCCTGGACTGGAGAAGCCGTGCCCCACGCGCCGGCTCTTCCCTTCCCCGAGTCCCAGCACCAACCCAATGCGCTGCCAGCTGTTTGCCAGGCCACCCCGGCCCAGGGGCCACGGGGACCATGCTGCACTGGTTTGGAGGAGCGGGGGCATGGCTCCTCCGCCAGGCACAAAGGACGTGCGCAGAGCTGCCGTTGTGCAGCAGAACAAAGTGGCCGTGTCATGCCGGGGAGCCGAGAACAGCGCTTCCTTCATTCACCCCGTCACAAGGTCCTGTGGGAGCGGAGGCCACGGATGCCTGCCCCGTCCCTGCCAGTGTGCGGGGCTCTGGGGTCGCGCGCCACCAGGATGCTGCAGCCAGCGATCCATCAGTCACCGTGTTTACCACCCAGCTGGGTGGTTCATGCGGGCAGAGACCTCTGACCCCGTGACAGCCATGGAGGAAGGGCCATGTTACACGTTACACGGTGAGCCGCACACACATGGACTGGCTTAGCGCTGCCTGGCAGTCACACCTTCAACTAGGGCCGCACGTCTGCGGGGAGAGGCCGCACCTGAACAGAGCAGGAGCCAGGCTGCGGATCAGAGACCGCCCTGCCCTGGAGCGGCCTCGCTGGGAGCCACCTAACGAGCCACTTGAAGGTGTGAACATGGGGACATCCAGGTGGTCAGAGCTCCAGATTAAGGCATAGCAAGGCTCTAAGAGACTCGCAAATATTCGCTCCACCAGTAATGGCCAAAGCTCTTGGCGCAGGCAGCCCCTGCTGACTGCTGTGGTGATGCCAATGGCCAGCCCAGGCCCAGGCACCTCTGGGCACCGGGTGGCACCCGCTGCGTGGGTGACTCAGCCCTGCATCGCAGCGCCGCAGGCCAGGCCAGCACCGGGTCTGCCTCCTAGACCCCATCTAGTCACGTCAGGTTTAGACGGCAGCTGGCCGGGGGCAGCCTCCAGCCGGGTGCACGTGGTCTGTGTGGAACCGGCACCGCGGCGAGGTGCGTAGGGCTCCTCGAAACCAGCGCCAGGCTGTGGCACGAAGGGAGGAAGGAAGAGCTGCTGGGCACGCCATGGCAAGGCGTCTCTGAGCGTTACCAAAGCCGTGGTGTGAGTCCACCGGCAGCAGATGGGGAGGAAGGGGGTATTGGCCCAGCTGGGCCTGCACCGTTTTCTCCACCAGCTCCACGACCCGCTGGGGCCCTGCCCCAAGCCCGGCCCCGGCACTCACTGCACCATTTTGGTCAGCACTTTGATCTTCCCGTTGGCCTTCAGGGAGTAATTCGCCTGGACGCACCGCTCCTGCTCGAAGCCGGAGGGCAGCTTCTCGATCTCGTACCACTTCCCGAGATACTGAGGAAAGAGAAGACAGAGCGCGCCGCGTGAGCCAGGCTCCGGCCACAGGGCCGCGGCCCCACGACAGCCTCGCTGCTTCGTCTGCGCCGGGCAGAGCCCGTGTCTGGGGTCCAGGGACCCCCGAGCAGAGGCAGTGCTGGGGGAGTCTGGCTGGCCAGGGCTCAGGGGGTCGTGTCTAATCCAACCCTGCTCCAGGCAGGACCAGCCTGTCTGAACCCTCCCAGCCCCTTCCAGGGCCCGACCACCCTCCTGCCTAGAGACAATTGCTCCTGATCCCGCGGCGTGAGCTCACAGGCCAGGCTGTGCCAGGCTCACCGCCGCCGTGCAAGGGCAGAGCCCGGGATGTAGAGCAGGCACCGAGCGTGCACTGGCATCCGCACAGGCCCATGGGATCTCCCTGTCCCCGGCCAGCTGTCTCCTGCAAGCTGTCTCTGCCCGGCCGGCTACGAGACCGCAGGACTGGGCAAGCCGCCCCGCACCTTGCTCGGGTCGAAGTCCTCCTGGACCGGCGGGTTGGGGCACTGCCCCATGTGAAACGTCTGCCCCTCCACGAGGCCGAGGATCCCGAGCAGGGCCGCGAGTAGCGCCAGCATGCCCCGCATGGCAGCGCGAGCCAGTCAGAGCCCGACCTGGACGACAGCACCGAGCACCCGGGGCGCTGGAGGGAAGCCGCACACGAGGGCGGGGGCCAGAGACGGAGATCTTCACCCTGACAGCGAGACGTGCAAACACAACGTGGAGATGAGGAAAGGGAGGGCTGAGGCCTGGGCTGTGCCCGGGGTCTGTTGGGCAGTTCCCCATCCCCCTGCTCCTAACAGCCGGCCCCGGGCACCCCCGGAGCCGAGTCGCAGCCGTTCTGCGCTGCGCAGGATGTGGCTCTCCCCGCCGCAGCCTCTGCCAGACGGCACTAGCCGCGCAGACACCGAGGGCCACGTCCTGTCCTGTCCTGTCCTGCCCGTGGGGCCGGGAGGGGAGCGAGGCCCCAGCGAGGGTCTGTTCCCGCTCGAGTCCCTGCAAAGCAGCTGAGGCAAAGCACGGGCGGGCATGCGGGTCCTTCTCCTCCGCCTCGCTCCGGCTCTCAGCACAGCTCCAGCACCCGAACGCCAGTTCCCAGCCCAGTGACTCAGCCGGCGCCCCGGGGCAGGCAGCTGCAGGAGCCCAGCTGCGCGTCCGTGTCAGGCAGCGCCCTGCACCGCACGGTCCTGCGGCAGCAGAGCAGGGACCCTCCGCCTACCCAGACCCCTTCAGAAAGCCCCTCGAGGGCGGCAGCTCCCTGGAGCCTGGGCCGACGCACAGAGCAAGACCCTGCAGGACCCCCGACTCCCCCAGCCCGGACGCTTTAGATCTCCCCACATCTGTCAGACAAACCGGGTCCCTCCCCAGCACCAAGGGGCCGGAGGACCACCAGGACCGGCGCAGCTCCCGGCTCCTCGCCTGTGCCCGGAGGTCGGTGAGAACGTACCTGAACGGTGCTCTCCGGGCTGGGGCAGAAGCAGCTGCACAGCCAGCCGCCTGCTCTGCTTTATAGGGCACGCGGGGCAGCATCACGCAGTGCCCACGCGCGCTGCGCCCTCCTCCCCGCCACGCCCCTGCTCTTCCCAGGGGGGCGACTGGCCCCGGGCCTGGCCCGCCTCTGGGGCACGGCGCCGACCGGCTCCCGGGCAGACAATGGGGCGTGTGTGCAGCACAGCAGGGCATGGCACGGCACGGCAGAGGCGCGTGGCTGCCTGGTGGCGATGCTGCGCTGCCAGGGCTTCCTGCGCCGTCGGCATAATCGCTGCCAGGCGTGGGGGCTTGTGACCGGGGCCCACCAGTGACCCCGGGCACTGAGAAGCCGGCAGCACTGATGTCGGTTTAGGCTGGGGTAGCCAAGAGGCAAGCACGAGATCCCCCTTGGGCAGAGAGGGGGAAAGGAGGGAGAGAGCCAGGGCTGCGCTGCAGGGACAGGGCCACGGGGACGGAGCGCCGGGCGTGGGTCGTGCGTCCTCTCCCTGCCCCAGGCCTGCCCGGGAGGCCCCAGCAGGCTGCTCTCCCATCACTGCCTCCTCCCCTCGGGGCCCGGGGCCCGCTCCTCAGCCCAGCCCTGTTCCCTGCCAGCTGGCTTGGTCGTAGACCCTCGGCAACGGGGCCGGAGGCGACCTGCAGAGGCCACGTCTAGTCCAACCCCGAGGCAGGGTCAGCCCTGTGCCAACCAGCCCAGACAAATCCACCACCTAAACTGTCTGCACAAGACGACCGTCAGCCCCGACACCGCACAGACCTGGCACCCGAACCTGCCACAGGGACAGAAGGAAACCAGGCAGCCAGCGTCCTGCTCCCACCGGGCCTCTGCAGCACCTGGAGCAGGGCCCGTGGCTGGGACCCGCACACGTGACAGCAGCCCCACGGCCCGGAGCGGCTCCTGCCACGGGGGGGTTGCAGCAGCCCGCCCGCACGGGACGCCGAGAGCCCCGAGACAGGTCTGTAGGGAGGCAGGAGCACGCTGCGCTCGGGCGCTCCCCCACTGCCCACGTGGCCGTCAGGGTCGTTGCTCACCCGCCTGGGTGGGGGCACCAGCATCCGCAGCCCTGAGGCCAAGGGCCTCTCGGCCGGACCATGGCAGGTCCAGGGCCCCAGTAAGATGCAGAGCCAGCAGAGAGATGGAGACAAGGGACGAAGAGGGGGACACGGGGAGCCCTTCCCTGGGCAAGGGCAGGAGGGGCTCATTCTCCACCACATTTTGTCACCAGCACTGCCCGTGTGCAGGGAGCTGCAGGGCGGACAGCCCAAGAGCCCCTGTCCGGGCTGCCCCAGCAAACCGGCCCTGTGGGCAGCGTGCGGGAAGCAGCCTCACCTCCGCGAGCAGCGACGTGCCTGGAACGCGCTGCGGCTGCTTAGTCACGGGCACCCAGACAAATGACCCGCTCGGGGAACAAAGAGCAGCGCTGAGCGTCGGACGCGGCCGGCTTGGCAGGGCCCTCGGGCAGCCAGGACAACGAGCGCAGCCGGGGTGCAGCGCAGCGCAGCGCAGCGCCCCCGGGCTGCCAGCCGTGCCAGCCCTTGTCGGCTGGTGGGGAGCGGGCAGAGGCCGGCCCCAGCGGGAAGCGTGTGACTCACATTGGGATGGAAAGTCCGGGGCTGGGGCTGAGGCCAGCACCTGCCTGGACTTGGGCCAAGCATGTGCTACACTGAGCTCCTGCATCCGGCCCTGCCGGCTGCAGCAGGGGCTCTCGTTAGTGTTGGGTGCCAATCGGTTCCCAGATGTAGCCGCCCTTCCCTGCCAAGCTCCTGTCTAGAGCGGGCGTGTGGCTCACCTGCAGCCACGCAGTGTCAGGCCTCGGCAGGGCCTGCTCAGCCGCCCGGAAAGGCAGCCGCCCCGGGCACAGCAGCCTTATCGAGTCAGCAGAGTCCGCAGCTGCAGCACCGGAAACCCCGAGCTGCGCAGAGCACGACCACAGCCCCCGGCCGGGACGCTGCCCTGCTCCCGCGCTCGCCACCGTGCAGGCCACAATGCACGCACGTGGCCAGGAGAACGTAACAGGCCACGACCGAGATCCATCGCACCCGGGCTCCCATGTCACACAGGGTAGGGAGCAAAGACTGGTTTTCCCTTGCTCCTCTCTGCCCTGCAGCCTCCAGCACTGAAGGTCCAGGACCGTCTGATGCAGAGGCCGTGCCCCTCGCTCCCTGCTCTACAGCTGCCGATGCCCCTTCCCTCCAAGCACGCGTCCAGGCCCTTGGTGAACCTGGCTGCACTGTCAGCGTCCACTGCATCCGAGGGCCGCGACGTCTGCACTTCGGCGACCCACTGGGTGAGAAAGAACTGCCTGGTGCTCGTGTTCAGCTCACTACCTCCTAGCCTCTCTGCGTGACCCCTCGTCCTTGTATTGTGAGACAGCTGATAATAACACCCTCGTGCAGGGGCTGGCAGCACCCAGCACAGGAGCCAGAGCCTGGCACGCGAAGGCATTTTGCTTGGCACGCGAGCCTCGGGGCGAACGGCGGGGAAGAGGCCGGGGCTGCGCTGCCACAACAAGGATCGGGCCCCTCCCGGCCCCCCCGCCATCCGCCCCAGCACACCAACATCCTACAGGTCGAGGTTGTGGGTATCTTTGGCACTCTGCCCAAAACCATCGCCGAGCCCTGCCCCGGTGACTTTGTCTTCACCATTTAGTATTTTGGAAACCCTTATCACGTCCCCCCTCAGGTGTCTCTTTTCTAGGCCGACCGGGCCTGGCCTCTTTAGTCTCTGCTCAGAGGGGAGCCCCTCCAGGCCAGAGCGTCCTTACGCCCGTCTCCGGCCCTTCTCTCCTTGGAGGTGCGGGGACCAGAACTGGGCACCGTGTTCAAGGTGCAGCCGCACCATGGATGTATAAAGGGGCATCCCAATACTTTCTGTCTGGCTCACAGTTCCCTTCTCCATCATCCCGAGCACACTGTTTGCCTTGTTGATGGCTGCTGAGCGCCAAGCTGGTGCTCTACCGACCTGTCCACAATGACAGCGAGCAGCATCCTCGAGCCTGCCCCAGGCGCTTGCACCATGGGGGTGCCTGAAGGACCAGGAGACCCTGTGAAGACACCCGAGGTGCAGCCGGGCTCTCCCAGCACTGCAGCAGGGCCCGGCCTGGCCGCTCCCAGCACCCCCTCGCCAAGCTGCTGCACCCCACAGGCATGACCCCCACCACTGTCCCTCCAGGGCGTCCCTGGCGCGGCCGAGCCAGCTGGCACAGCCACCCAGACCATCTGCTCAGAGCAACGCGGCCCCGCAGGGTCACTGTGCTGGGGTTTGAGGCAGCGCAGCGCCCAGCTGCCTCCACAGCGCGTGGCTCCCCGTGCCCCGGGTCCACCCCACCATGCACAAGCAAGTCGACCTTCTCCCTGCTGGCGCTGCCCAGGAGGCTGCTGCTCACACGGGGGCTGCCCTGCCACCCCAGCCCCCTTGGCTCCCTCCACCCAGCCCACAAGAGGATCTAGGTGAGCCGCGGCAGGCGGCGCTGCCCCAGGCACAGGCAGGCACCTAGCTGGGGTCAGGGTCAGGGCCTTGGTGCCAAGAGCAAGCCCGGTGCGGAGCCCATCAGATCGGAGACCCTGGGCTCAGCCACGGGAAGGCGACCGTGGCCTGTGCAGGGGCCACCTCAGCTCTGTGGCCAGGGCAGGGAGAGACTGGGGGAGGCCCAGCCAGGGAGGGACCAAGTCAAGCGCGGAGGGTGGAGGTGACTGAGAGCAGCCCCTGGGCCCATGTCGGGCTCCTGGAGCAGGCAGGCGCAGGGGGCCACGCCACAGGACAGGCCCCCCAAGGGTCGGGGCTCTTCCAAACCAGGGCCCAGGAGAGGGGCGCCGAGGCCAAGGCCCAGTGCAGCCGGCCGCACAGACCACAGTCGGGAGAGGACAGAAGTAAATAAATTTAATGCTTTCCTTCTCCCCATCAGATGTGTCGTTCTCCCCACGTGAGGCCAGCCCGCGCCCCGCCCTCAGAAGCTCAGCGGGTGCGAGGCCAGGCCCCCGCCGTTCTGCACCACGGCATCCGAGATGAGCTCCTTGTTGGTGAAGCTCTGGGTCCACGGCGGGGACTTCACTGCCCGGAGGTTCCCCCTCACGCGCTCGAACGCCTGCACGGGACAGAGGGGTTCGCACCTCCGCCAACCCCGACCATTCCCAACACAGCCTCGGCTGCCAGGGGACGTTCTGGGGGGGCCGGCGTGGCCAGGCACGGCGAGGTGGAGCCGTGCACTCGTGCACAAACGATGGGAGCTGACAGCCCAGCTGCGGGAACCCGTCCTGGCAGGCTGGGGCCGGGCCGGGGCTGCCTCACAGCCAGCTGGGCTCTGCCTGGGGCCCTGGGCAAGCCGAGCTCCTCTAATTGCCCCTGACTGCTGGGCAGGGGGAACAGGTCCCACCCCAACCCCACCTGGCGAGCACCTGGTGCCCAGGAGCAGGGGCGGGTGGAGCAGAGGCCAAGCGGGAACAGGATGGAGTGAGGCATTCATGCACGGCTGGAGCCACCCAGCGCCTGCAGGCAGGGCACCGTGCGGAGGGGGCTCCGGGGAGACGGCTCGGCCCGGCAGGGAAGGGAAGGGAGCGCATGCTGAGTGCTGGAGGGGAGAGGCTCTGCCCCCAATGCCACCAGCCGCACCTGCTCAGCGACACAAACCCACCCCCACGAGGGTCCGGGCCTGGGTCCTACCTCATGGCACCACGTCTGGCAGAGGAGCTTCTCGTGCTCCGCGGTCGGCTGTCCCAGCGACAGGGAACGCGTGGCCCTACGGGATGGGCAGAGGCAGTGAGGGAGGGGTCGGGGGCACAAGGTGAGCAAGAGACCCCCCAGGGGCTGAAGCCCGAGCCATGGGGCACAAGCCGCATGGGGTTGGAGCCCTGTGGGGACAAGGAGCCTATGCACAGGCAGGGGCCTTTGGGCCACAAGCTGAGGCTGGTGCAGAGGACTGGGCCCATGCAGCTCGGTAGCTTCCCTGAGCTAGCACAGGCAAGCACTGCTGGGAAGGGACGAGGGGTCACCCGCACCCCCCCCCCGGGCGCCCAGCATGCAAGACGGGTGCTGCAGCCAACATGTGCCGTGGGCACACGTGCTACCAGCATTGCCCGGCAGCCCCCGGCACTGCCCTGCACGGCCGACAGAGCCTGCAGCAGCTGCAGGCGCCCACCAGCTCCCCTCCACAGTGCCAGCCCAGAACTGGGCAGTACCGGTCGAGAAGGGCATCCCCTCCCCACATACACGCTCCCTCCCTCGCTCCCTCCACGCTGCTCGCCACGCACCTGGAGAGCACCACGGCCATGGCATAGATGTCGATGGTGGCGTCGGCTATGCGCTTCAGGTGGAACTGCTTGTCTGAGGGGAGAGGCCGTGGTGAGGCAGCCACACGTGTGACCCCCAGCCTGGGCAGGATGGGGCCAGCTGTGTGCGTGGCTCCGTGCCCTGGAAGAGCTGCATGGGTACACCACGGGCAGGACCCAGCCAGGCGGGACAAGTTTGTTGGCGAGAGCGTTGCGGGCAGGGCAGAGCAGGGCATGGCAGAGCTCTGCTGCAGGCAACCATCGCTGGCAGGGCTGTGCCGGAGCTGCGAGGGGTCCAGCGCTGTGGGCCCAGCCCCGGGGCTCCAGCACGCTTGCAGCTCCACCTGCGAGCATCCGCCCCTGCCTGCAGGCCAGCCCCTCGCTAGCCCCCAAAGTGCTAAACAAGGAGCCTGCAGTGCTCGTCATCTGCCCCAGGCCGTGCTGCACCCTGCTCTGTGCGCTCACCCCCACGGTACTGGTGAGATGCCACATGCAGGCTGAGGCCACGGTGCTCACACCGTTGAGACTGGGGCATGCGGGAGCCACAGCCCAAAGCCAGCCGAGTCGGGCACTGAACAGTCCTGGGCTTGCGACAGCCCCAAGACCGCCCGCTGCGAAGCAGGGCCCCTTGGACAGGCCACTCCTGCAGCGCCTGGCCCGGCTGCAGCTGGATGGCGTGGCTCCCTGCCAGGCCAGCTGTGACGGGGCACCGCTCAGTGCCCGGGGCCACGCACGAACCAAGGGGTCTTGCTGCAGACCAGCATGCAGGGGAGCGGCAGAGAAGAGCAAGGGCAGCCTGATACCGCAGGGCAAGTCCAGAGGGGAGGACGCGGCAAGGGAGACCAGGGCCAGGAGCGAAGGGACGTGCTGTCCCTGTACCAGCACTGCCGAGGCATTTGCAGCTGGCCACAGTGCCCGGCTGAGCTCTATTTGGGGCTGGTGAGAAGCAGGATTA